CAACTCCCAGAATTCCACAGCCAGCCATGAATTCTGGGAGTTGAAGTCCACTCATCTTAAAGTGGCCAAGTTTGGACAACACTGATTCAACGGTTAGCGACCCAGGGAGCATCCTTTCGGGGCTTGCACGTGTGTGTGCTCAACTTCTCCCCCAGGAAGCAATGTCAGCAGGACTGGGGTCCCCTCTTGGGGACGGAGGGGGGTGAGCATCAGTTTTAGGCTCCCAGCTCAGCACTGCAGAGCCTCGGACGAACGTGCGGTATCCGCAGGCGAGTTCTCTCTCTTTTCGGACGGGTTTGTTAAACGCATCAGCTTTCGCAAGCCGCGGCGCCCTTCCTCGGATGTCTCCGTATCCCCGCATCTGACGTGGTACACGTGTATCAGATGCATCCCGACATGCTGCAGTATGTGTCTGTTGAAGGGCGCTGCCACTCACGAAGTTGATGCCTTTAATAAAGGGGCTAACCGAGTTTTTGCTAGCGTAGACTCGTGTTTCTCAACCGCGGCCAATTTAAGACCTGTGGACTTCAACTGCCAGAATTCCCCACCCAGCATGGCTGGCTGGGGAATTCTGGGAGTTGAAGTCCACCTGCCTAAAAGTTGCTACGGTTGAGAAATACTGCTAGACTAACGTGGATCTCCTCCTCCTCCTCCTCCTCCTCCTCCTCCTCCATCAAGCGGTGGCCGGCTCAGCGCGTCGGGACCCTCGGAACCAGCTTCTTCTGCCCATTGCCCCCACCGATCACGACCGGGCTTGCTTTTTTATTCATTTGTTATTATTAAGAACGGGGGAAAAACACATAGGGAGCGCTTTAACAACGAAGTGAAAGAAATACAACAAAGGGGGGGAAATGTTAATATTAACATGTTCACTGGGTTTGCTTTTTAAACCTCAAGCCCACCTCCTGTTCGTGATGCATCGCCAGGTGACGCGGGCGCCCATGGGTGCCCCGGCGGCCACCATGCCTGCCAGCCTACCTCCCCCGCCCCATCTCCCCACGGCTGCTTGGCACGGGGGGTGGGGCTCCGTAGCGGCCCAAGCTTCCCCGCCGGAGAGCGGAGTTCAGGAACTGGGAGAGAGCATGAAGGGAGCCGGGGAGATCCGGGGTTGACGATCCTCGCGCTGGCCCACTGCAGTGGCCGGGGAACCTGCCGCGTGGTGAGCGAGGTTTCGCGGGGCAAGGGAAGGGGGACTCCCCGGGGGGG